TGTGCTGGGGATTGATTGATCCCAGGACCTCATGCATGCTGGGCAGGTGTTTTACAAATCCACCCCCAGATGCTGTGATTTGACCACTTTTTCCATCAGTGTTCTTTTCCCCTGAATATTATACTGTATTTAAGAGTCTTTGGTCTTCACCAATTGTGACAAATTTTTAGTCCTCCATAACCTCAACATTCATTGTTGAATTGCCTAAATTTGCTTTGTCTATTTTCTAATGAGTTGACTGAAATTATGGACTTAAGGGGGGTGGAATCTGTGAAATATGTGCCCTTCTTGGTATTAATGTGGGTTATTGCTGGTAAGGTTAACTGTGATCACTTTAAGATGAAGGTGATTGCCCGTTTTGGTGGCTTTTGGAGGCCCTGATGGTTGAACCCAAGGACTGTGCATGCTGGGATGCCTTATAGCATCACTTCTTTTCAACACTCCATAGGTAGCCTTAGGCAGTATAATAAGGAAAATGAAGAAATAAAAGACTATAATCCTAGCACTTAGGAGGCTGAGGCAGGAGGACTGGAGTAAATTCAAGTCCAGTCTGGGCTACACAGCAAGTTCAAGGCCAACCTAAAATACATAGCAACTCCTGGTCTCAGTAACCAAACAAAAAACCCATAAAAACAAAAAGCAAAAATCACTTAAAAGAAAAATAAAACTACCATTATTCACAGTGTGTATAATTATATATGTAGAAAGTCTAAAAGGATCTATAAATTTTTAGTCTCAAGGATTAATATTTAGCTTCCACAGGTGAACTATTAAAGTATATAGGTAAAAACAACAGATAGATAAATAAAGCTGTGTTATAAAAGGAACCCACTAAATTAGTGGATATGAATTTATTTCTGTGCAAACAACTTGATTCAATCTCACAGCTATGGGTTTCTCATAGATGTCCTTCATGACGTTGAGGAAGGTCTGTATTCTGAATTTGTTAAAATGTGTATCATGAAAGGATTCTCCTCTTCCCAAATGTTTTTTCTGCATGAGAGTCTTGTGATTTTGGCCTCCATTGGGCTTTTACGATTCGCACCTATTTGCATTTGTGTCGTAAATTTCACTTGGTCATAGTGTATAATCCTACTTCTTTGCTGCTGGATTTGGTTTAGTAACATTTTTTAAAATAACTATATTCTTAGAAACTCCAGCAGACAGGCCTGGCATGTGGGACCAGGCTCTGGACCTTCAGTGGACAGGCCCAGTGTCCACTGAACCTGTGGGGGTTCTCCCTGTAAAGAAGCTGGGGTGAGACCCAGCCTGCTAAGCCAGGAGCAGAACATCTAGCCAGTGGGGCACAGCAGGTTCACTTCCATTGGCTGCAGAGGGGGAAAAAGCCAAGCACAGCAGGCAGACTCAAGCCAGGTCCAGCAGGAAGAGTTCATACTTGGTAAATCCAGACCCGGTAAGCTGAGACACACTGCTAGGCCCAGATCTACAAGATCATTAAAGCAGGTGACTGGGGTGAACTAGTCTGCCTAGAAGACTCCAGGTAGATCAAGGGGAGGTGACCAGATGGAGTTTAGGGGAACTAATTTAAATATAAATTCCTAATTTAATATCTGCTTAGCTATACAGGCATAATGTTTGCTGTTATGGTTTAAAATACAAACTCATTAGTTACAAAAGTTTGTCAATTGCTAAATCTCACTACCCATTATTAGTGTTGATAATTGTAACACTGTAAATAGAAACCTATATCTGCCTTAACCACATGATCTCTCTTGGGTAATAATATCAGAAGGTGCTTAAGTAATAACTTCACCAAAGCTCTACACCAAAGGTCAGAGGACAGTGCCGAACAGAAACCAATATCTCACTCTGAATCAATAGAGAGGGCAAACCCTTGGCACACACACACAAAACAAGAATCTGACACAGAAGAGATACCTGAAGAACAGACTATACGGAGAGACTATGGCCACAGTGATATAGCTAACTAGTATCAAACTTTCACACACCCACACACACACCCACACACACACACACACACACACACACACATCACAGAACTCAAAGAGTTCTCTCTGAAATATAAAATGATAAACAGAAGGAGCAAAAGGCATTCTCAGGCCCCAAGGCCACCTAGAACAAACACAAGAGACACTAGCATAGAAGAAAATGGAAGTCACACACCTGAAATAATAGCAATTGAAGTAAAGAACTGCAGAAAGGTATATAGGGAATCAGATCAGAAATAATTTCTGAAGTAAAAAAAGAAATGATAACTATAGTGAAAGAATTACTAAGTGTTTCTAAAGAAGAAACTGATAAAAATGAGAGAATAGAAAAATGATGGAAACCTTGAATGAGCAATATAGAAAAGAAAGGGAATGCATGAAGTAGGTTCAAAGAGATATTCAAGAGATTAAGAGCTCAATTAAAAGTTGGCAAACT